TTTTTTTTTTTTGACAGTTTGCTCAGAAATGTGCACGCGAGTTGCTGCTGGAGGTCACAGTGCTCCTTGCACAAAGGAGCAGATACCAGTCTTGCTGTTGGGCTGCTGCCCTTCTATAGACCCAACAAGCTTTTCAGGTGTAATTGGCCAGTCTGCTGGTATCTCCTCCATGATCTTGAGACACAGCAAATATTCTTGTGGCTGCACATGTATATGCCATCTTAGAGCCATGCAACCTAATTGGGCTACATGTATTGCCTCATGCTACCAGTAGTGACAAGGACACTAGCAAAACCTAAACTTGAGAAGAATCAGTCAGGAAGACTAAGGAGAGAGTATCTGTCTGTGGCCACCACATACAGAGCCATTTCCTTTTGGGGTGTTGTCTTGGTTTATTTAACCAAAAAGAAAAAAAAGTGTGGGCAATATTAGACTTTCAAATCTTAATCTTGACCCTTAGATTTTTAGTATTTAACATGATAAATTCTGACTATGATTTTATGTCACACTACAATACACCTAACCATCCTCATTCTCATTATATCCTCACCCTTGCATCACTGCCACTGGGCTCTGGCTTCAGTGTGTACTCCAGAGGGCAGCAGGAGATGTTTGTGCCGTCTGTCTGACACATTGTGTATTGTGATTTATACCTCAGCAGCTCAACCTCTCTCCTTCTCTCACCTCCTCTGTGTCCTTCTGTCCCTTTCACTTCTGCATCCTTTGCGCTCTTGGTCATTGTCCATTTCTTTCTTGTGTGCTTGTACACCTGCAGACATACCGACAGAAGAACATGTGCACACACACACACGCACAAACAGAAAAACAGTCCAGAGCCTCACTAAGGGTAGGGGAGAGGTTTCTCTAATCCTGTCCCAGAGAGAGTGGTCCTGCTGGGGGATTAGAGCAGTGCTGTGGGTGGCTCAAAAGATGAAGGGCATCAAAGGGTGAGCAGCTGGAGAGGGTGTGACAATGAAGAACGCCTCCCTCAGATGGACATAGCTGATGTGGGTAAAATTATTGTGACAGTCAGAATGAGTCACCTAAACCAAAGTCTCAACCTTCTTCCTAGCCTCAGTGCAATGCAGGGTGGAAGGTAGGTCTATTTAGCTTTTGTGAAGAGCTGTGTCTGTTTAGAAAGGAAGTTGAATTTCTTGTCTGTGAGGCTTAAATGTTAATTTACTGACTTCCCAACTCATCTAAAGAGTGACAAAGAGCTCACAAGTGGGAAAGTGAGATTGATGGAGATGGAAAAAGCATAATTAGAGAAAACTTTAAACTCAGCTCTCTTCATGCAGGTCAGTTATTTAGTAGTAAACTGTATAGACCTGGAATAAATGAGTATTTGACAAAAGTGATGAATAAGAATTTAAATGCAGCAGCTGTCTCATATAAATTGAGTCATATAGTAGGTTGGAAGCATGTGTGACCCTGTATATTGTCAATCCAAAACATTTCAGCTCAAATTGTAAGTGAACAATAAGGTGTGAAAATTCATTTGAGAAGTGTCAAAGTACATGTGCAGAAGACTAGACTTATTATTCTTCCTCCCTTTTATTAGCTTTCTATTCCAGTTCTCTCTTGCTTTGTAAGATAAAGAATGTGGATTTTGCATAATGAACATTTTCCTCATTAACGCATGACTTTGAAATAGGATTTGGATAGAAATGAAAGTGTACACACTTAAGGTGTGTGTACGAGTGTTACTGTGTACATAGAGAGCATTCATGCAACACTAATCCTACTCTCTGCTCTCCAGCAGGTTCCCAGCACAGAAGTCCAAGCCTGTGTAGAAGTACCTCCGCCCTACGTCCATTTAGTGCTCAGTTTACACATGGCAGACACATGCAATTTTTGTGCAGCAGCTCAGAGTTTGTCTTATTTGGAGCAGATCTGTCTGAGTTTAAATTTATATAGGTAAGATTACTAGTGTGGAAAAGACATTCGTTTTTTAGATTTAAAATATAACCTTCTAGTTATTAAACAGTCTGACTTAGCTGCTAAGTTAAGCTGTGATGCAAATTCATTTTTATTGTATGACTAATATTCTGTATTTTGTGCTTATGTTTTACAACCAAAACTCCAGTAACGTTGCTCAACATGGAGTCATGTCTAGTTTTTTGTTTTAGCTTTCTATCTAGCCATGGGTAAATTTGGAAAAAAAGGCATTTACACAGTGGTGAAAAGTGCAAAACAACACACCTTAGTTAAGTGTGAGACCTTTTTAAGCAACAAAACCAAGATGAGCAATCACAATGAAGGAGCAGCAACCTCTTGAGACCGGGGCCAGAGCTTGAAGTCACAGGTCATCTAAAAGTTCAACTCGACTGTCATCAGCATCAGAAGTGGTCATATTTAAAGCAGCAGTGGACCTTATTCCTTTAGCAAGCTGCAGAGTATCCAGCAAGGCAGACCACGGAGTAGGCTATGTAGACACTCATTCGTGCAACATGCTCAACAGTAGCCTCAAAATTCTTCAATACAGCAGCTCGCCTTTCATGATAACTCCCAATAGAATATAAATTAACCACCTGCTTGCAGCAGCACAGAAAGCCTAGCAATGGTTTCCCTGAACACACCAACAGTGAAGACATAAATGCCCTCCTGCCTCTAGAGCAGTGGTTCCCAAACTTTTTCTACTGAGCACCTCCTTTTGTGAGTAAAAATATTTGAGTATATATCAGGATGATTGTCGGGTCTCATATCAACCCCAGTTTGTGTGTGATCAGGCCAAGACTAGAAATGATCGCAGCTTGACATTCAGTCTTTCAAGCACTACAACACACATGGTTGAAAAAGACATCCTAATACATGCCTAGGCCAGTTGTTTCAGTGAGGAAAACAAATGACTTTTGCCACCTCAGTTTTACAGTCCAACTCTGCTGTCAAGAACAAAAAGCCAGACAAGTAGTGTCCAATACATAATAAACCTTTTTCCTTGTCAAAACACTGTGGATTTCAAGGTAAGCACCCACCTTCACCATAGAGAACCATTCTTAAAGAAAAAAAGCTAATCTGTTTTTGATGCTGTGCAGTGTACATCCACATGTTGCACACGTAGTGACACTTAGATTTCTTCATACAGAATGAGAAAGGCTGCATAGCTAGGGGAAGCAGAGACTCTAAGAAATTTATTCTGAACAATTTTTACATGGGTGATGGATTGATCTCAGTGTCTAAGGATGAAGCAGCTGATCTCCTTCAGCGTACTAAGCCTTCACAAAATAGCTACACACAGCACACAGGTCATGGTGGCCCTTCCATTAGAAGAATAAGTGAAGGATTTTAGGGATCTGGATTTGGGAATCAACCCATTACCCCAAGTCTGGAAATATAGTGGAATAGGTCTGACTTATTTGCAAGGATAGAATACATACTGACAGTGTAGCTAAACATGATGAATTTTATACTTGGAATGTTTCCAACCTGGCAACCTCAAAATCTCATTTATTTCCAAGTAAATCTTTTTCTACCCCCCCACATCCTTCCTCCTGGCATGCCTCCGACAGCAGCACTGCTTTTATGACAGGAAACAGCATGTGTGCCAGTCTTCACTTTGTTATGGGGAGGAGTGGTTTTACCCCATCACCAAACACACTCATGTCTGAACAGAAATCAAAGAAAGACCATGCTCTGCCTACTGCTTTGCTTACATGACTTTTACATATTAACTGTGCATACACAGATATGTTAAGCTACACACTGACATACACCATTGTGTGTGACTACTAAACTGAAAAACTGAGTTGGAATGGATACTTTATTGGCTTCTGTTTCAGCATCATGACAATGAGATTGCATTCCCTGTATTTGTTTCTTTTAATGGAGATGTCTCACACAAACTTGACCTTTTGCCATACTTTGAATTATAGATCCCAATGATGACAGTCAGCCTCATATAAAAACAAAGTTATTGTGTGCACATGTTGTGCTTGGGGCCAAATCCAGTGTTCAGTTGTGGCTTATTTAAAAAAAAAAGCCACAATGCCAAGAAGAGTTTTCTAGATTTATTTTGTACATTTTGTGAGGTTTTGAGAAATAAACATTAAGCTGCCATTTTCTGTTTATTTATTAACACGTGGTCTAACTTCAGTGAAAAATAATGGTACAAAATGCCCAGTATCCTGTTCATCTGCCATTGAAAATGTGTTTATTGCTCTTATTTTACCAATTAAACAAGTCTTTATTGTTTAATTGGAAAAAAAAACTAAAAGAAAAAACTTGTGCCTCATGGGTAAGTACGTACCAAGATTTGATTATGGTACTGCATTTGCATGTTATGTTTTCATGTGCATTGAATGTGTCCTGATTTAACTGAAATGACAGCTAGGTCTATCACAAATGACTCTTTAGAGACAATATTGATTTGTTTCCCTTTCATATAAGAGTTGTTTATTTTTTGCTGTTTACAGGAGGCAAACATTGTGAGATTCAGTTAAAGTACCAATATAATTTTGTTTGAGATAATGCCTTAGCCACAGTTAATCTTTAGACACATGTATACTGTGGTAGAATTAAAAATCCAAATTTCCACTGACGAATGCTGGTGCTAACCCTGTCTATCCATTTTAATTTGGTGACTAAAAATGGCATGTGGAGGAGGGGGTGACAGCTGTCTGTGTGTGTGTGTGTGTGTGGAGTGTGTGTAGGGCAGAGGGGAGAGGACTTAAATCCAAACCGAACACAGATGATGGGCTTAATCGGGCTGTTCAGTAGGTCATTCTGATGATACAGTAGCTACTGTGTTTTAAAACTGACCACATTTTACTGATATACAATCCCACACCACCAGGATGTACAGTACGTGCCCAAATCTAAACAGTCACTGTCTCTATAACACAACTACAAACTAGCTGTGTTATACTACATTCAAAGTTTAATTGCTAAATTTTTGTACACTCACATGAAAACTAATTTTGTAATGCCCAATTTAAATTTGCAATATAGAAATTTGTCAGAGAGAGGAAGGCTAGCAGAACATCAGATAGAGTGGTGTGTTGTGTGTCTGACCCCTATGAAATGAACCTCCCAGTAACACTAGAAACCTGTTAACAACAGGAGTCCATTTAGCTTGAAGCAACTACAGTAGGGGTGCAGAACCAGACTCTGCACCACCTTATCCATTAGTCACATAGGGATGTTTACACAGCATGTAGAGAAGCACACTCAAACACACATACAGGACAGGAATAAACAAACGCAGAGACACAAAACACATTGACAGAGAAAAAAAAAAGGATGTGGACCAATTTTCTCTGAGGTTATGAGTGTTCAACTCTTATGCATTTAGCCTCTTTGCTGCAGGTTTCCTACTGGAAAGTTTACAAAGAGAGAACAAAGGAGGACTTGAACAGTATGCTCCAAGGAAATCTGCTGCAAGTTCAAGAAACAATGAAGATCAGAGGAGAGCAAAATGGGAGCACAAGAGGAAAGAAATACAAGAGGTAACATCAAATGTTAAAATTTAAGTGCCAAAGTTTGGACAAGTGCTTCCAACAATGATTATAATGGGGCATTCCTTGAGATCCATATGGAAAGCAGCATATACTATAGTGCTATCATTACAAGTACACATAATGACTTTCGTTTCCAGATTTAAGTATACAGCACACACCGTTTTCACTGCAAATTTATAAATATAAAAAAGTGGCATTGGATGGTATTTGTAAGAGCGTGGAACTGTAAATATATTTCTCTGTGTAACTCTATGCATAGATATCAGTACTTCAACAAAGCGTCTGAAAAAAACATACTAGCCTCAGTTAAAAA